AAAAGGAAAAAAAAAAAAAAAAAAAGACTTTGAGTTGGCCCAAATGTTATTTGGAAATGGTTTTGAAGAGGTGCAGGCGAGAGTACCGTTTGGCCTGTGTTATCCTGGTGTTGATCTACACTACGACAAGAGCACAGTTTACAGACAAATTGAATTCCAGTGTTATTGACTTTAAAAAAAAAAAAAATTTCCACTTGTACATTGAACGTAAGCAATCTGGATTCCTGAAGGCAGAGTAAATAGGAAAGTCCATGATGACATTTTAAGAGACAAGCAGTCATTTTTTTCACAGCAGGGTCTCACTTGGTGGCCCAGGTCATACGGCCCTGCCTGACTGCGAGGGGCGGGAGAGCGGGCAGAGCGAGACGGTTCTCTGCCTTGCACCCATAGCAGAAGGGACGAGTCTAGCTTAGGAGGGAGTGTGCTAAGCTGAGCTGGGACTACTAATACCTTCCTTTTCCCTCCTTCAGGCCCGTCCCCTTCTTCCAAATGCTTCTGCAGGCATAGTAACTTCCCCTGCCAGCAGAGAGAGACCACGTTGGTGTTTGCTGTGTGCTGTATGGCATCTGTTCCCATTTGCAGGAGGAACAGGAGGATATGCGAAAGGGAGATGGCATAAGCAATGTGTCTGTGTTTCGGCTGACTGGCGGGTCAGTGTACAGAAAGGCCGGTGTTGCGCAACCGATGGAGCAGAGACTTCCTTTGACGTTTCTAGCACTCAGTATACAGCCTTGCTTTCTGTGTTTCCTAGTGGCCCTTTCATTTGTCGAGGCAAACAGCTTATTTGAGATGATCATCTGACCAGTGGGGATCGTCACCATGAAAGCTGTGTGGTCACGTAAAGCCAAGTCCTGGTTTGGCACATCTCACGTAATGAATATCATGGAGGTTGATGAGACTTTCTTACTCCCGTGTGGGGTATTTTTCCCTGCGTTTGAAATGCATGATTTAACAGTAGAAACAAGATTTTGCAAAACATTGCTTATATATAATTTGAGACTTGTCTCTTTTATCAAAATATAAATTATTAGAATAGGCTTCTGCATCAGTACATGCTTGGCATAAATAGCAAAAGATGCTAGAACATGCAAAGAAGTCAAAGGACATCACATCTTCTTTCTTTCAATTCTAGGCTAATGCTAATGTCACTTTACAATGTGAGCATCAACTTGAAAGGCTTGAAGTACATCAGTGAAAGTCCAGGTTTTATTCCTTTGCTTTGGTGGCTATTGAATGGTAAGTTGATCTAAGAACCTTGTAAATTGTGACTTTGGGGATTGTAGATTGGCAATAAGTGTTGCAAATAACAAAAAAGAAATTTATATCTGTAACCTGATTATGTATAGCTTTTGTCAGATTAAAAGTAAACAAAAAGGGCAAATAGCTAGAGGGAGAAGATGCGCATTTCCCACAACGTTTTTGGCACTGTATGTAATATTCCATTAATATAAATTTTATGGATGGTAGAATTAAAAATAGGGAACGGAGAAATTTGATGAAGTGGATTAAAAAAAGCCACCTGTATTTTCACATACCAAGTTTAAAAGAAACCCTGAGGGGAAACTATGTATCAGTTGACTACCATTTAACAAAAGAAAATGTAACTGTGTTCTGACACATTTTGGGGAAAGAAGCCAACCTCTGTCACAACACTCACCCGTGACAAAAGTGACCCTTTCTACAGCTGAAGAGAGGCCTTGTGCTCTAAGAGGATTTGGGCTTGCAGGGCTTGAGTGCTATTCCCAGCTTTGCCTTTGGCCAGCGCAGGACTTCAAGGACGTCAAGGACGTCTGTTGCCACTGTCAGGTACATGAGTGACATCAAGGCTCTGTTCTTTCGGAGGCTTCAAATCCCTGCGTAGGAGCCAGCAGAGATTGACGTTGCCAGTGCGCATTGGACTTGGCTGGCAGCTGTGTGCACAGCTCGTAAGGGACAGTAAGGACAGAGCCATGACACTGTCCTGCCTATGAACTGCTCCGAGAGTTACTCTGTGTTGGCTTTCTCAAGTTTTTGTGGCTTGTCCGTGAGAAGATTTTGGTGTGCAGTTCATAGGAGTGGGGAGGTTAGTCATCCCGGCACTCTGTGCTGCTATGCAAAACCCTGCTAAAATACAACTAGTAAATACTAACAGCAGCTGAAGTGAGAGAGGTTGCATCTGCTTTTTTCAAGGAATTAATTTGATATTGAAGTTTTGGAAAAGCTTTGATGTGGGCTGGTAAACTGGAAGCTACTTGTATTGCTCACAGTTCCCTCAACTATTTTACAGAAAATGTAGGTACTCGTGCTTTTGACCAAATAATTTCTTGCTTTGCAATGCCATAGGCTTTCTCTTCTGAGATCTTGGAAAATTAAGTAATCCTTGCAAGACTGTTGGAAAACACCAGTTTTATAGGGTTTTTTTAATACAGTTTGAGGAAAAAAATGTATTCTCAGAGAACACCACATACATGATCCTTTGTTCTGTTGTGCTTAGAAATTTAACATATGTTAGTCCAGATTTTCCTTTTAGTTTATGTTTGGCTAATATATACATAAGCTGTTGTTATAGGAAAAAAAAAACCCAAACCAACAAAAAAACCGCAAAACACCCTCAAAAACCCTATCTAACTATGAGTTTCCAAATGTGCCCTTCTAAGTGTTGTGATAAAACAAAGCAGCTAATCATTTGATGCAGTTTGTTGTTTGAAGAAGGCTCATAGGTCACATAAGAGCATGAAATGGGGCTCAGTTATAATTAACTTGCAGCTGCTAATGGAAATAAGAAATGGCAAGGCTACTCTGCATTTTGAAAGTGTTAATTGCATATGGCTGGGTTGTAGAAGGAAGGACAGGCATGGCTAATTCCTTCACTTTTTGATAATAAATGTCTCCAGTTACAGCAAAGGAGGAGGATTCTCAGATAGACCACATCTGCCGGTTCAGATTTCTGACTTCAGAGGAAGTCTGCTTACTGTCAAGGGAGAGGGCTGACTAGTTTGTGTATCAGATGAGAGGTCAGATCCAAGACCCGATCTTGTTCCCATCATTTTGTATGAGATCTCTGTAGTTTTCTCTACATTTAATCTATTTCTAAATGTTTCAACTTGCAAAACTCAGTAGCTTCCTCCCAGTCTTGCTCCTCTTCTGTTTCCGTGGTGAGCATCTTCAGCTTCTGCTAGCCATGATTCAGCTTATAAACACCTGGAGCTGCTACAGCATAAGGTCTTAACAGTTTTTTCCATACAAGAGAGTAGAGCACTACACTCTGCTGGCGGGGCATCCTGTATATGCTGCCTTCCTGCAGGAAGCTTCTTCAAAGAGTGTTTTGATTAAGGCTTATGAGATGATTCAGCTTTCCATAGTTCTGTAAGCTTTTATCAGCCTTCCCGCTAAGAGAGGCCCCAGAAATCATCCTCTGACTTTTTTTTTTTTTTTTTATTTTCAGAGAATCATCCTGTTTGCTTTTCCATTGTCAATCCACAAGCGTCTGTGACCTCAGCCTATACATCAAGGCCATTTTTCTCCCACTGGCTTGTACACAGCCAATAAACCCCTCAAGTTCCTCCTCTGAATTCTCAGTCTCTTCCCAGTCTTGTCCCCTGAAGAAGAATGTCCTTCCCATTAAGAGAGCAAAAAATTAACTTGGTTTTCTTTATTTCCCTTTGTTGTATCCGAAGCAAAGAGGGATTTGATTGAGGTTCTCTAGCAGGCTTTGTGAAGAGACAGAAATATGCCTTGACATTGAATACACGGATTGGAAGAGAAAGGAGGAAAAATCTGATAAAAGATTTCTAGTGGAGTAAGAACGTTAACAGCAAACTGGGTTCGTCTGTCCTACTGTCTGGAAAAATTGGATGAGCTGGTATGACTTCACACTCGCTAACAAGAATTCTTAATAGCTCTTTCTGCTGGAGGCTATACTGATAATAGGAGAAAAACGTTTGACACACTTTTCAAAGGTAATGCAGATCTGTGTAGTTATAGCACTTTATGAGGTAGTGATAGCTTACGTAGCTGTTGTATTCTTGTGTAGGTATCAGCTATGCCTACCTATATCTTCCCAGCCTGGTGCCGGCATAAAACACGTGAATGATGACTCAGATTTCTGTCCATGGAGCAGCTTGTGGGATCAGTAGAGTTCTCTTCTTGTGGAGCACCATTTGTTTGCAGAGCAGCTGTTCCCATCTTGGAGAAAATAGGCAGCTTTAGTTTCCTCCATCAGCTGCTGTCCCTGTGTTGATGTCTTGGCTAAGGGTTTCGCATAACTTTCAGATTTAAAGAAGCCCCGTCCTCAGCCATAGAAAAAGAAGTTATATAAGTTTGGGTAGAAGTCTACCTGAGATTTGTCAATATTTTTTTCTGGTTCTTTACAACTATAGATGCAATAAGCCTTTCATTCTGTAATTCCCAAAGAGGTAGACTAGGCCTTTTCTCTGCCAAGGATCTTTTGAAGAATAAGAAGATGCAGTCAGCTCAGGTATTAATAATAAAGACTAGATTTATGTTTTTCATTTCTGATTATACAGAACGTCTACCAACAAATGGGTGCTGGGGAAAAAGGGTCTAGGCTCTTCTGTGGTTTTTTTTTGTTGTTTGTTTTTTTTTTTTCTTTTACTATCCTATATCTTTGTTTTGGTTTCCCCCACTTTTCTTTTCTTTGAATGCAGTTAAAAAAATTGCTTTCCTTGGATACATGAGAAAGCGTGGAATTCAGAGAGATTATGTCAGTGACAGTTCTCATCTATAGCTGGGAAATTGCTCCAGGTACTTCATTAAACAAAAGACAACAAGAGAAGTATGACTAATTTTAGATCTTGCCCTTCAGTTTCCTTCACCACAGTTCCACATGGAAACCGAACCTTGTTTATCCAAATTCTTTGCAAATGACGGCCTCTATTGTACATGCCTCTATGAAGCACACTCTCATTTTGCTAATGCTGCCTGCAACCTTCAAAATTTGCTTTTTGTGACTAACCCTGAAGGTTTCTAATGCCTTGCTTTTCTGTCTGAATTGGTTATGGCTGTGAGAGTTTTTGAAAATTCATGTTATTTGCATGGCAGCATGTTATTTAAATGACATCTGGACAAGCAGAACCTCCTTATTTATAAGCTGATGTCTGTATTAAATGAGATTTTGGTTTGTAAATCAAAATCTCAGTTACCAGTCTTTCGAGTGCTCAACAGTTTCATACTCTTCAGACTATGAAAGTAACCTTAAAAAGAGGATTTGCCTTCTTGCCCTTTAAGACCACATCCATTTTTTTAAATGCAAAGATGTCAGCTCTGACGCAGAAAGTCCCTGAACCACAGTCAGCCGAGAGGCTGGAAGAGTGGCCGGGGGAAGTCTCACTGAACGCTTGCCCTTTTCCATACTCTTCTCTAAGCAGCTGCTGGAAATGATGCTTGCCCAGATGGAGCTCCTTCTTGACTAGGTCCTCGCCCTGCCTAACAGCCAACTGACGTTCTCCTGAGGAGCACAGTGTTTCTCCTTTTGTGAATATACGTCAGAGACCTTAACTCTGATAAATCCACCTGTCACTGTAAAGCATTGGTTTGTTCTTACATTGTTACTCTCATTCAGTAGCTACTGTGGGAATCCTCAGAAGCCCAAGGTAGGATTGATGGGAGCTGGACAACGTATCTAACAGCTCACCCACAAATCTCAGCTGCAGAGCGATGTCTGTGCAAGCACCTTTTCACTTGCAGCCCCTAAGTAGCAGTCAGGCAAACTGGGACCGAATTGCTGCTTCGATCTGGACCCTGGGAGTCTCTCTCAAGGATTTCCCTGATAAAAGCTTGACAAGCATGGGTCTGTAGGAGAGCAGGGAATTCTGGTTAGCTGAACTCCATGTGAAAGCAGCCACCTGGCCAGGGAGGAGACTGAAGCAAACCCAGCTGTTATGCAAGAGCTGGGGCAAATATGTTGCAGAGAGCAAGTGTATTTCTGTCCATAGGAATTGCAGCAGCAAAGCTCAGTCTTTTTTTATGCCATGGTGCTCTCCCTGCTCCTTCCCCACATAGGATCTTTACTGCAACACTACTTGTCTCCTCAGACCTATCAGCATTATGAAAATGTCTGGAAAACTTTCTGCTGCTGCAGATACTGGCTGAGCTCCGCCAGCATTGGCAATGCAGAGAGATCTTACGTGGGGCAAGCTGTGGCCCTGGCTCTCTCTGTTAGACATGCTATGAACGTAGGTAGTCTGACAGGTTCATAAAAAGGAAAGGGGGAGTGGCAGGTCACCCCTTCAGGCTAGAATCAGACAGCAATTGAACTGAATGACATTTACGACAGTGGTGGGAGGCTTTTGAAATACTGCTCTTGTACATAGACATAGCTGTAAACAGCTTGCTGGTAATAAATCTTGCATTCAGGTGGCCAGGGAATGGTATGGGCATGAGTAAATTGAGTTCACACAACTCAGAGCCAGTTGTAGATAAGCTGTTTAGCATTGATGTAATGCAATTACTTAAACCCTGCTGTAGGGAACAGTTCATCTGAGAGCATGGTGCTAATGACAGATGTGACTAAAATCTGTCCATGTTATCAGTTGCTTTTGTCAGTGACTGAAAGCCAGTGACATCAAACGGTAGTGCTGGCAGCTAGCAGAACGTCAGCAAACTCCAGCAGTTTCAACACCTTGTTAAAATTGCATCAGCATTTTATGATGGTGGTAGGCTTATGCTATGCTTGTGATCCCCAGCTGAGGCAAGCAGCTTGATTTCTTCCCCTATTCCCCAGAAATAATGATTGTAGTTTTGAAATTTTAGTTGTGTGTGCTGGTTGTTGGGAGGATATGATGCAGTGATTTGATTACAGCTAAAGGATTTTTTTGATCCTGTACAAACAAAATGTTACTCAGCTAGTGTAGAAATGACTAAATTTGGAAGCTATTGAAATAAATATAATGCTGAATAATGAAGATTCCTTACATTTCTTCTGAGTATTCTTTAGACAGTTTTTTTTTTTCTAAAAACCCTGATGATATTGTAGAGGCAAGAGAAAGACTTCCAGGGTATTTTTTTTAAATCCTCTTAGAAAACATGATTATCCGTAATAAGTAGTATTCTCAAAACCGCATGTAATCCTAAGGGAGTATATTTTTAAGGCATATGTATTTATTTAACTCGAAGCGTCTCAAAATACGTGCAAAACAATGGCAATCAGAGGTTAAATGAGTATTAAGTCATCTTCTGGTGGAGGATCATTTCCTTCCTTTGCTGTATGCCCGAGTGCCTAATCTGTTCTTCATTTGAGTGACTCAAGCCGTTGAGCTTCCCTGGCTGCTGCTGGAGATTCTTCCTAGAACCTCTTTGCTCTTACTGGAAAATGTTCTTGCTCGTCAAGCTGGAAATCATTTTCTGATCTCCTGCAGATCCTAATTTTGTTAGCTCCCCCGCTAAAGCTTCTTCCTTGATCAATTCTTTACTTTCTACGGCCTTTGAACACTTGCAGATAATAGTAACATAGATGCCTGTAACAATATTAATAACAAAGCACTTTTTCATCCAGGGATTTAAAACATCTTACGTATATGAAGCTTCGCAGCAGTACTGCAAGCCATTAAAAGTATTAATGGCTTTATTTCATGAAGAAATAATGTCACACAGAGGAAGATTGTAATGAACTACATAGATTTCACTCCCAAAAGCTTCTTTCTTCTTACCTATTTGGGCTATGGTTTGTTGCTGCTATTTCTCATGAATAAACACAGAATACTATTAAGTACAGAGAAAGGGGGCAGGTCATACGTGCAGAGTTTGAACATTATATCTGGCAAAAAGAATAGGAATTAAAACAAACCTCTGGCAGGCATGAAGATAAAAATGAAAGGAATGGGAGGATGAATTCAAGGCTTTTAGTCATATTTTGATTAGGTCAGAATAAATCTGAAAACTAAAACTTGCACCCAAGTTTTTTCAAAATGATTCACTGAAGTGTTGCTGCCCAAGAAACTGGACATAAAGTCTCGCTGTCTGTGAGGCTGAGTTGCAGCATTTCTCCATGAGTTATGACTGCTCATCACTCAGAAAACTGCACCTGCAGGTACTGCTGGAGATGATGATGGAAAGAGACTCCTTAGAGCCTTCAGCCCAGGTGGCAGCAATAGGAGTGGCTGTGCTATGGGTAAGGCCACTTCTGCAGGGTATGCAGCACTAATCATTGGTTTTTTTAAAATGCTGATTTGAACATCTAAGGTTGTCCAGTATGCCCAATAGCCAAGATTCTCATTGCACAGATAATCAGAAAATGCATGTTATTGTTTGGTTTTGGACAATTCCTGTGTCCCCAGATTATACCCCACTCCACTCGCTTCCCAGGAGAAAGTAGAATTCTGTTCTTAAGAGGTTTACACTTTAAATAGGGAAGAAGGTGTGGCAGAAGAGACCTACCTATCTCATTTATGATGGAAAATGGAGGAAGGGAGAGATGGTGCCTGGCTTCTGGGTGTAGATCAAATGTAGATCTTCAATATTGTACTTCAGCCATGTGCTAGTGAGAATTACTTAAAAATTCCTGTCTTGACAGTCAGTTTCATGCTTAAAGCCATAGTCGTCTTTACTGTCCATCACATTCTGTTTTCTCCCCTGGGTGCTTTCAGCATTTCCCCTTATGCTTTAATGAATAATTCTCCTTAGTCCTTTTTCAGGTCACTGGTGTTAGGTATTAAATAAGCCAGGAAAGGAAAGAACTTGCCTCAGCCCACCGAATGCTTCCTTCAAAGTCAATACAGTGAGGTTTATCACTGCACTGCATTTATGCTCCTTCAGTGAGATTTTGGTCTCTGTGGTGATTTTGTGCGCAAAGTAATCTGAATTAATTTTTCTCAACATTTCTGCACAACGCTTTATCAAAAGCGTGCTGAAGACTAGGTTTGCTAATGACAAACACATAAAAAACACATGGCACGTGGAACAAATAACTACTTCAGCCATAAAAATATATTCTACATTTTCATTTGGAATATGCAGAATAGAGAAGTGCAGAAATGGGGCTTTCTACCAGATGCTTTTGATAAAGCTATAAACAACTAAATGCAAATGGACCGTTGTGAACGATTAAAATATAATGCTCCTAATGTTTCAGTAATTAAAAATGCATCCCGTGTTCTTAACAGTAGAGTTATTTTATGTCTTCCTAGCTTAAGTCAGTCAAAGGTCTTTGCTACATTCTCTGACGCATTCCTAAGCAGCAGTGCTTAGCTTCAGTACCCATTTCAATTTTGTGTAGACTGAATTAAACACTTGGAAGGTTGATACATGGTTACCAGAAGGTTTTATAAAGATTAATATTTTATTGAGCTTTGAAGAAATCTGAAGGCTTGTATAAAAAGAAATTAAAGAAAGCCTGGTGATTTACTGCAGATTTGATTAGTTGGTCTGTTTGTTTTTTAAGCCTGAATAGTCACAGGATACAGCTTGTTTTGCTCTTAAATCAGATTGCGTCCAACAGTACATCTTGGCTACTGACTGGATAAATTCAAGTTGATGGATTCCCTGATTTATAGCATTTTCAGCATTTGAAAAGCAAGAGAAAGGTTCCTGCTTATCTCTCCCTCCCAAACACTGCTGAGGGCAAAGATGATGTTTTCAGGTTTCTTCTAGAGCCAACCAGCCAGCCCCAAATGGCAGCTGTGAATTCTGAAACTTAGTTATTCCCTGTCTGCCTGGTGGGTCATGAGGAATGGCACTGTAGAGCTTTAATGCTACTTTTTTGGACGCATTTCTAATAAGCCCTGGATTTTTTCCTCCCCCCCTTTTAGACCCAGATACAGAAGTTTGTCTTCATGCTCTGCGTCTCCTCCAGTCTGTGATTCTGGAGCCAGAAGTATTAGCCAAGTCAGCCTCTGAGATGCGTGATACTTTGCCGTTTCAGCGTATCATTGCACTGTCAAAGAGCCGCAATGCGGATCTGCAAGCACTTGCAAAAGAACTACTTGAAGATCTTAAAATACTTGAGTATGAAGCATAGAAGAGCTCTATGACACCAACTGCTTACGTCTTTCCTATATTTTTATGCTGCAAGAGTTGTTGGAGATGGGCTTGACTGAAAAAACCTCTGCCTAAGTTCCTCTGACAAAATCCTTTTCGGAAATTACGTAACCCAACTAAAATAATACTTGGGAAAACGTGTTGGGTTTTAGCTGCCCAAATATAATCTTAGGTGATCTGGAAGAGATAGGACAGGCTTAATTTCTTTGAGCAGGATTTTGTTGGTAACAGGTTTCCAAAGTGATCCAGGTTATGTTGTCTATTTACCGTATATAGGGAGTAGGGTAGTCATCTCATTCGTTGATGATATATAGTTTATTGCAGTGGTAAATAATCCTTTTGTTCCATCCTTAAGAATTCTTGTATTGTGAGGAAAACTTTGTTGCTTTTCATAACTCTTCTGTGTCAGAATGCGTCCCAAGTTCCAGTTTTATTGTTGTTATTTCTCACCTCTCTTTTTCTATTCTAATAAAAGAAATTCTGTAGCATGTAATGGATTCTGCTTTCAAAATTCGCATTCAGATTCACTCGAACTGCAAGTCGACCCAGTCTGTGGCTGCCAGGCATACTAGAAACGGAGCCATTGTTTTTTCAAAAGCCCTGAAAAAAGGAAATGAATTACTGTTGTCCGCGGTACCTGGTTGTGCGCTGAAGAGGCTGAAATGAACTGCTTCTCTGTCGTGAGCAGCATTGCATTCCCTCACAACTGTGGTGTTTGTTAAGAGCTTCTCTGTACAGCTTGCTTACCTCAGTGGTAAATACAAACATTTGTGTGCTTTGTATTGGTAGAACTTACATGTATTTTAGAAAAAAATAGCATCTGTTTCTGTGATGACAGAAACACAGCCAGTTAGGTGATGCTGTTCGAGGGAATGTCAAATGAATGGCAATGCTGTGGTAGCAACTTTTTCCATACTAAAGTTGTGGTACCTCAGCTGTGAACCCAACGTATTAACAAAATACAATGTGGATTTCTAATCCAAATGTATAGAAAACATGAAGTATAAACTTAATAGGATTTAAATATTGTGATTAGCAGACAGTTTTAGAGGAAGACCATTGTAAAATGTGTAAGTTAAGGTATAGGTCATCTCCCATTAGGCTGTTTGCAGAATGATGAATGTTCAGAGTTAGAAATGTAATAAATCAGCTTAAAATTACTGGAAATAATTGGCTCAGATGCTATAAGCAGCAGCAGTCTGATTTGGGACTGTCTAAAATGAAGATTGAGATACAGATCTCGCATACATGAAGGGGTTGGATGGGGTTGTGCTGTGTTTGCTTCAACACTACATTGAACTTACCAAGTGCAGATTTTTGGAAGGCTTTAAATCTTCTTTAAGGCATGCTTTCTTTGGATTTGTTTTCTTACCTTGCTATCCTAGTTAAACCTCCTAGAGTTTAATCCTAAAGGGATCAAAATGATAACCCGTGATTTCCTGGAGTATCAACTCATGGAAGTGTTCAATTTTAAGAAACACTAAAGAGCATCCACTTTCCGTTTAGTTGATATCTGCTCATGAAGGTCTTTCATCAAACTTTTAGAAGCCAGTAAACAACAGAAAAAGAAAACAAGTAGTTCTGTGAGCAGAAGAGCCGGTGAAGCTTCAAGTCCTGTGGATTTGAGATATTTCTTGAAAATTTCCCTGTCCTTCCCAGCCTTTCCCCCTAAAACCAAGTCCACCCAAGGGGCAGCATGGAGTGCATGAGCTGAGGGTGACACGGACGCTCATGGCCAGGTTAGTAGGCTGTGGCGATGGGCTGGTTAGCTGCTGCCAAGCAGGGTGTACGCCACTCTGCCAGCTTTGCCCTCATGAAGGTTTTAATTTAGAACTTTTCTGCTGTTACCCCATCTGGTCATGGAGCTTGAGGAAGCTTTGAGAAGTCTTCTCCCTCTGTCAAGTTTGCTGGGAGCTGACTGACAGATTCAACATTATGAGAGGCACTGGTAGTGCAATTGCACCTCATTTCCATATGAAATCAGGATACAAAACACTCAGGACTGTTCATTTTAATTCTGTGTCCACTGGCATGATCAGCACTCAAAAGCCATGCTAAAATAGGTGATTTGAGACACTACAGTTTTTCCCCAGCAAGCTCCTTAGATCTGATGATAAGTCTTCGAATGTCACCCAGATGACTTTATTTTCAGGTGTGGCTCGCCAGAACTGGTTCTTCAGAATCAAGCCATCAATGATCTACTGACCTTGAGAAAGTCTTTTTTTCTGTACTAAGTGTTTTATTATGCAAGATTGATAAATAAGAAAAAGTCACCCCATCTGTGAAAGACAGTGTATCTTCAAAAATACCAGAGCAAAAATATCAGAAGCATCAGAGAGAACGTGTGACAAACAGGCCGCTAGGAAAGTCTTTATGTTTTACCTCTTTGTCTAGGTGTTTGCAATTAATGCTATAGTTTTAATTCTTTAATTGAGTTTATGGAAAAGAAAAAGACAACATTTGAGGGGAACTTGTTATCACAGGGAAGCAAATTCATAATACTTTTTGGTTTGGGCAAAAAAAAAAAGGGTCACTGGAGTCAAATTGTGCTGAAATAAGGCAAATAGATAGAAGCCAGGGATAAGCCTGACCCCTTAACATTTCAGAGTGTTTGAAATTTCATTAAGGTTTCTCATACTTAGATATTTTAGTAAAATAAGTTGGATATTGCAGATTGCATTAGGAGCCGTTACATCTTTTTGCTGTTTTTCAGGTTCCTTTATTCTCCAGTCCCCCATTTGATGGAGCCAGGGACCAGCACCCTCCTCCTGTTCCCCCACAGGTCTAGGGCTGTGTTGCAATTAGTTAAATGTTTTTGCTGCTCGAGTGAAGCCTGCAGCTTTCCATACAGGCGTCTGCTATACCCCATGCGTACTGTTGGGCATGTTATGGTGGGATTCTCCCAGACCTTGGCATCTGTCATAAACTAATGGTCTGTACTCCCAGATGAGCGGCATCAATGCCTTCTTTATCGTTTCTTTCTCCATGCTAAAATGGGTGGGAGTCTCATGCCATCTGCTGTAGAGGAAGCTCCAGTGACTTGCTGAGACAAGGTGCCCACTGTTTAGTTTAGATGGCTAAAATTAGGTGAGATGGATCCTACCCTTTGGTGTCTATTTTGCAGTAACAGATACAGAGCAAGTTTTCAGGTTACCCCACTGTTCTCAGACAGCATTTTAGAATCTCGTTTATTGATAAGCTTGAGAAATCCATTTGGAGGAGAAGAGCGTTTAAAATCTTTATTTGTCTTCATGTGGCTAGTGCCAGAAATTAGGCTGTTAAGTAACTGTGGATCTCCTTTGAGTCTCCCTCTGCCCTGAAACACATCTTTTTTGACAGTTTATGAATAAAAGAAAGTCTCACAGCACAGGTTGTGCTACAAAAACTTAAAAGTGTGTCAAAGCTTTATTTACAGAGTTGAACAATGGGTGATATACAGAACACAATATGACACTATAAGGTGCTGCTGCAGTTAAAGACTGGTTAACATATGCATTATAAATCTATGGTTTTACTTTGCTGTGAAGTTTTGCTTCAGTCTGAAACTGTGGGCCATTAGGAAGTTTTACTCGTTTAAATTCAAGAGTTCAGCATATGCTTTGGAAAACACTGGCTTTAGAATGTTGCTTTTTCTGGATCCTGTGGAAAAGTTTGGAATTCTTCTGTGTAGTAATTGATTAATTGCATTACTAGCTTGCAGGAGAAAAGGCGGTTCACACAGTCAAAGCAGTAGTTACACTTGCCGCGTTCAAAGTCCGGAGTTACGTCTGTTGTTGCCATTTCCTCTGTTGCACAATCTCACAGTTTCAGTGAAGAAGAAAACGTGAGCTTGGTGTTGCTTTGAGATCATCAGAGTTACTCCAGATTTATACCCATATAACTGAAAGCAAAATTTGACTCTTAGGCTAAGCCTTCTCAAAAGATGAAAAATCTGTTCTAAAAATCCTTAGAAGAAAGCGCCTGTTTATTTCACAGTATCAGCTGCACAGTTAAAATTGGACTTCTTTCAGTTTCATATACTGCGTACAGAGCCACTGAAATGTCGTCAGTTTGCTGACGCTCCTGGGAAATACTGGCTTTTCATATTCGATGCTGATGATCAATTAGATGCAAAGGAAAAATAAATGAGGATCCCCTAAACGTATTTCCAGTAAATTAAGAAAATTAGCTATGTAATATACTGCCCCGCAAGTTCTTCACGTAGTATCTTAGGTTGATGTTTGGCCTGGACTATGAGCTGTCTGAAAAACTGGAAAACCTCAGCAGAAGAAAGTAAGGCCCAGTCTGAAGGCAGACCCTCCCCAGTGGCTCTGTGCCCCGTGCTGAGTGGCAGGCATGGCAGCACGAGTAGCCTGGCATCTCTGAAGGGGTCTGTGAGGTCTTGGATGGGAACGGCGACCAGCTGCCTGGTTCCTGAGGGACGCTGGTGTTTGGTTGCATGCCGACGCCGGCATGCTCCCAGGAGCTCATGACAAAGGTGGTGAACTAGAGTTCAAGGCACATCATCCCATTACAGTTGTTTAAGGGAGGGAAGTAAGCAGGAGGAAGAATGGGAGAGGGTGGTGATTTGGTCGTACGGCCATGAGTGAACTTTCAGATGACTCAATTTCAGCTGGTTGCACCAGTCATTTTTTAGCGGCTCCTTTGGATTAATGTTTGCGCTTGTATGCGCTGATTAGCACAAATTGGACTTCAGAATTGATAAGGTTTTACAAGTCTTGCAAATGTCATATGATTCATCTACTCTACTGCTTCCAGTCCTGCAAGGATGCTGAAGGTGAGGAGAAAGGAGTTTTACTGGGAAATAAGGAACCTCTGTTTCCTCTGTTATCTCTGCCCAATGCACATGCTACAAGTTTAGAGATATGCAAAGCATCAATGCCCCTACTCTTCCCTTCGTAGCGTCTAATTTGCAGCTGCATCTGGCCATGTCTGTGTTGTTCTGTAGGTAATTTTCCTGATTTGTATACAAGAACTTTT